CAAATCTTGATCAAAAACTGCCGTAATTGTCAATTGGTACTGAAAAGGTTTGAGTTATATTACTAGTCAGAGTATATAGTAACAAGTAAAGTAGTACAGTACAGAAACGCAAATTAGGACGGACACGTTAAAATCATAGTTTGTAAAATAAAAATTCTCCAAGCAAATTTATCTTATCATATAACTAACCTTGCACTAACACGAAAAAAGAACAATATTCTCACTTACCCTAACCCTAATCATTAAAAAGAATTACCTATAAATTGGATTTTACAAGTCTATGTTACTGTATATATTATCAAAAATTAGTAAATTTTCATATGTCCGTCTAGCGTACAATACTATTTTACCGAATAGCTTCCGTGTCATGTTGAAATTTCGTCTTATGTACGCACGTACTTCTATCCTTTTAGGATAGCTGATAGATTAGTCGCGTAACCAAAAATTTAGGCAATCATTAAGCAATAATACTAGCCAACAATATTTTAGCAAAATTATTTCTGGAAAATTTTACTTAATACGCGGTTACTGGTGAATTTGGGTGATTTTAGGCAAAAATTTATCAATCCGATTGCTCGATTAATCTTTATTTTCACAGTTTCGAACTCTCAAAGGTTTAACGGATTCTCCTTAAGGGACAGTAATTTTCTCTACTTTCCCTTCGACTTAGCTCAGTACTCAATTCCTTCTCTCTCTACACCGTCCCGTGAAGCTCTTATTCCACAACATTCTCAGCATTGTGTCTATATCGCAGCCACCAGAACATTCCATGAATCATCTAAGCCCTTCACGTCGTGATCGAACATTCCACAACCGATTATTTGAGTCATCACTGGATCTACAACGTACGTACATAACTGAGTTTTATTTTCAGAATAGTTAGTCACTTTATCCAGTGACAACGTTACGCAAATGTTATACGTAGTTTGAAGATTGATGTTAAGGCGAACATTCTGCAATGAAAAAATATCAAATCAAGCTTTGTATCAATCCGAAAAAAAAAAGTTGGCAATATAAGAAGCCTGGAACAAGAAAAATATCTTAAAGAAAGTAGAATAGGCGAAATAAAAATGCATTTTATTGACAGTGAATTACTTTTTATTGTTGTAAATATTTGTTTAAAATATCAAGTTTTTAAAAGAACAACCTAAAACATTCGTAAACAAACTCCATGAATGAGAAATAAATTAAAATTTTATTGTTAATTATTAGAATATTTTGGAGAAGATAATACAGGTGGTTATGCTAGAGGAAGTTAGTAGGATGGAACTTACGTAACACCATCCTACTATGAGAGAAGGTTCAATTTAAACTACAAGACGGTGTAAGGTGAATATGTGCGAGTGAGCTGGATTATGAATTACATAAATAATATGAATAAAGTGTAATTTATTATTAACAAAATAATATATTATTATGATATTTTGGTACTTGTAGTTTCTTAAACCTGAATATCAACAATAGATTGAAAATTCGTTCGTTTAAATCAAACCTGACTTTTGAATCACTCATTCAGTAAAGTAATGGAGTGGGTGTGTGTCCAGTCTACAATAGTTCACGACGAATTCTAGGCTTGATCCCCGAAGTGCACCGCCCTGGATGAAGTGAAAATGGCCCCGAACTCTAGGGGTAATTCTTTAATATTTACAATTTATCACTGGTAAATTTTTTTCATGGTTAAGGTATGGACATTAGAACATTAAAATAATATACGGCATAGTCGTAAGTGACGTAGCTATTTTTATATTTTTCGTTTTTTCCTGCTTTCAGCAGGCTTGTTAAACGATAAGGTAAACAATATAATATATTTGAGAATATTGTAGCTTATCGTTAATAAAATTACATATTAAAAAGTACATAGCAATATTTTTATGGATGTTAAAAATACATAAATGATCAAAAATACAATGGTAAAAAACTTTAAAAAAAAACAAAAATAAAATAAAATAAAAATCTTAACGTTTATTATTAATGTAGCATATTGTGATCAGCGCTGCTAGGCGTTGGAATATATTTTGAATCTTGATGTTTTTTATATGCACGATATCCAATAAAAGCAAAGATTAAGCCAATTACAATGCCACCTATAGCAATACCAATATAAATCCCAACATTAAGTGAGGACGATTGTCCCGGAGATTGAGAAGTTGGTTGAGGTTGTGATACAGGATTTGGTTTGGCGGGAGGGGCGGTAGTAGGGGCACTAGAAGGTGGAGCCGCGGGTGAAGCTGGAGGAGGACTGGGTGGAGCCGCAGATGAAGCTAGAGGAGGATTGGGTGAAGGTGCCTCGGATAAGTCTGGAGAAGGACTTGGTGATGGAGTCGCGGATGAAACTGGAGAAGGACTGGGTGAAGGAGTCGCGGATGAAACTGTGGAAGAAGGAGCCGCGAATGAAGCTGGTGGAGGACTGGAAGAAGGGCCACCATATGAAGCTGGAGCACTAGATGCAGGTGTAGGTGCTTTAGCTGCATCAGTGACTGTGATATTAGAACCAAGTGAAACGCTACCAGCAGGTGTGTTAAGTGATGGAACCTCTAAAAATATAGGTAAAATGTTAAAATTGCTTGATATATCTAATCTTTAATTAATCATCCACCTTTATGCCCTCTAGGATGTTATTTTGGTTATCCCGCTTTTTTTTTCGTTTAGGATTACCTATACTGAATTTTTTTATCGAAATTAATGTTAAGAAGCTGGATAAGTGAATAACACCCCTCGTTTTTCCTATAATGATGATTACCAAAATTCTAATAAGCAAAAAGAAATTTTTGTTAACTTACGGGCTGAAGCAGACCAACTAAAAACCAAGAATAAGATTAAGAAATGAATTAGTTGTGACATTATTATTGATGTTTAGTTATTTTTTAGTCTTAGTTATTCGTTGCTATTATAATAATTTAAAAGTGGACTTTTTATTTGAGATTAGGTCAATTGAGATATTTTATATATAAAAATTATTGTAGCCATAAATAATAATTTATTATATTGTATTAAATGTCAAAATACATGTAATTTAATAGTATTAAACAGAAAAATTATTCAATCGTTTCTACCGTAAAATAAGTGGATACAACAGTTTTATAATAATTTTTAGCCTATAAAGATTTTAAAAATTTCGGGTTGCCTTTTAGAATATGGTTTTATTCATCTTATAAAATTTTCTTAATAAAATAGTTACAAAATTTTCTAACCGTGTTGATATTTAGTGATGTAACACTAACTCGATAATTTCGTCATATGTCGAATTAGTTTGAGATTTTGTAAATACCATGATATCATTTATTTATCAACTTATACAGTTTTTTTAATCAATATTCGTGTTTTTGTTTTGGTAAAATCCCAAATCCCGATCAAAAAACTGCCGTAATTGTCAATTGATACCGAAAAGGTTTGGGTTACATCACTACGTAGTCAGGGTATATAATAGCAAATGAAGTAGTACATTGCGGAAAACGCAATTAGGGCGGACGTGTGGAATTGTAATATTACGTACGGTTTATAAAATAGCAAAATACTTCAAGCCAAAGCTGTTTTTCCTATAACCTAACTTTGCCCTAACACAAAAAAGGAACAATATTCGCACTTGTCCTAACTCTAGCCATAAAAAAAATGGTACTTATAAAATTGAATTTTACAAGACTATGTATCAAAATTTTAATATAATTTCATATGTCCGTTGCAAAAATAGCGGCGACTAGATATTGAGAAATCACTAATACTAACACTAGCAAATACTATTCTACTACTAAAACTAACAATGTACCCTAGTAACGGCAGGCTAGAAAGAGGAGTGGAGGACTTGGTCCGAGTCACTAGGGTTAATAAGACTCTAGTTCGGGTCACGGGATTAGACTTTTATGTATCGGGGAAATCAGAACATACTTATGTGATCATCTTCCCAGAACTGCTTTATTGTGAGGGAAAAGGCATCGTATTTATAGTTTCTACACTATTAATGAGTACATAATGACCATGTTCATTATGTTGACTATGTCGACTATATTCACTATAATTCGCTATATTCACTATATCCACTATATCCGATAAATTGATTTCTGCCATATTTGGCGAATCTATAAAATTCATCCCAAGCCACCCTGGTGACGATTACCCTTTCACAACATACTCAGTATAGTTTTTGACGATCTTACTAAAAAAAAGAAGAATAACCAAACAACCAAAATAATAATAACAGGAAAAATCGGGAAACTATCACACTGGAGCCCTTCACACCGTCTACCGTACAATCCTATTTTACTGAATACCTTCCGTGTTATGTTAAAATTTCAATTATTAAGATGTTACAGCTAAATTTCACTAAATGCAGCCTTCTAATTAAATGCAATCTCAAGCCCCGATCCAAATATATTTTTGACTCCATAAATGCAATTTTTTTTCCTATGGTTTTCTAAATGCACATTATCAAAAGTTTGGTCACAACGAGTTTCATTTAAAGAGGTCTGACTATATCTTTCATATTTGTATCGACATGTGTAGTATTACTTTTAGTAATATTAGGCATAATTTGTTCATATGATGCGATAATAAAATGGAGTTGCAGTGAGTATGTCGTGTCTTATGGTGTAGGGGGTGTTCAATGAGATCTCTGTAATCTATAACATGTATATAAGTGCATCTCTCATCCTTGGTTGAAGGATGAATATATGATGCTAAATTTATCTCTTAATTAATATGTACAGTATCTCTCATAATAAATGTCTGGCTTCATGCTTATATTCAGTTTATGCAGGTTAACTGATGCCATGTGCAACTACAGCTAGATTTCTTAGCTGATGGTGACAGATAAAACATCAATAAAATATGTAATATCTTTGTTTAATATTAAATCAAATTTCATTTTATTAATTAAGGCCAATTTGAAAAGCTAATTAAATCAATATTCATTGTTATGGGGTGGTTTTGAGTCTATATGATATAGGTTAATAATAATGAAGAAATGACACGGCAAGGAGATGTGAAATGATGATTTACTAGCTCATTTATTTATGACCTGTAGGTTACTGCTTTTACAAAGGTGAAACTACATCTCTTTTATGGCCTTTACACTCAGTACGGGGTTTCTATTTCTTTCAGATTAGTCTCGTGACTAAATTCAGCAAATCGGCCAAAATTTAGGGCCAGAATCAGAGCTAAGCCGTATTAAATAATAACACTAACCAACAATTTTATAGCAAATTTATTTGTCTGGTCGATTTTACTTAGTATGCGTTTATTAGTTAAAATTTGAGCAATTTTAAACAAAATTTATTAATTCTGACCCATTCTGACTCGAAATTTTTTGGTTGATCTGCTGAATTTTGATTGCGCGACTAATCTATTATTACTTTCACAACCCGAACTCTTAAAGGTTTAATGGATCCTCCCTAAAGGACAGATTTTCTCTACCTTCTCTTCGACTTATCCCAGCACCAAATTCCTTCTCCCTCTACACCATCCAGTAGAATTTTTAACTTCACGTCTATATCACAGCTACTAGAATATTCCATGGATAATCATCTAAACCTTAATATGATCGAATATTTCATAGCTGATTATTTGAGTTATTTCCAAAACATCACTTTTATCCCCGTGACAACGTTATTGCAAATATTATAGTTTGAAGATGATGTTGAAGAAGGTGAACTATTCCGCAATGAAAATTATTAAATCATGCTTTGTACCAATCGAAAAAAAAAGAAAGTTAACATAAGAAGTCTGGAACAAGAAAAATATCTTTAACGAACTCTAAATAGGCGAAATAAAAATGCAGTGAATTACTGTTATTTTATTGTTGCAAATATTTGTTTAAAATATCAAGTTTTTAAAAGAGCAACCTAAAAAATTGTAAACAAACTTCATGAATGAGAAATGAATTACAGTAAAATTTTATTGTTAGTTATTAGAATATTTTGGAGAAGATGATATAGGTGGTTATGCTAGAGGAGTTTAACAAATCAGCGACGTTCTTGTATATGCATCACTATCCTACTATAAGATAGTGTTTCAATTTAAACTGTGATATAGCTACTACTGTATCATATTAGTTTAACTTGCAAGACGTTTAAGGTGAATACGTGCGAATGAGCTTGGATTATGAATTACATAAATAATATGAATTAAGTGTAATTTATTATAAACTTAGAGTTTAGATAATATTACAAATAAAATAATATTATGATATTTTGTGCATGTAGTTTCTTAAACCTGAATATCAATAATAAATTGAAAATTCGTTCGTTTAAATCAAAACTGACTTTTGAATCACTTATTTATTAAAGTAATGGAGTGAACGTGTGTTCAGTCTACAATGGCTCACGGCGAATTCCACCACCCTGGACGAAGCGTAAATGGCCCAAATTCTAAGGTAATTTTTTTAACCGTCTTAAAAAAATAAACAATTTTTAAATGCTGAAATGGTTTGGCCTAATATTAGCTTTAATAGTCACAATTTATCACTGGTAAACTTTTTTCATGAGTAAAAGTATGGGCATTGAAACATAAAAATAATATACGGCATAGTCGTAAATGATGTAACTACCAAATTTTTATATTTTTCGTTTAAGCATAATGTTCAAGTTTTTTTTTTTTTTCCTGCTTTCAATAAATTAACAGGCTTGTTAAACGATAAGGTAAACAATATAAAGTCAGACCTTCCTAAATGTAACCTCCCTAAATGCAATACCTCTCTAAATGCAACCTCAAATTCTGGCCCAAGTATATTTCTAACCCTCATAAATGCAGTTTTTCTTATTGTTCTCTAAATGTATGCTATCTGAAGTTTGGCCCCAACGAGTTGCACTTAGGGAGATCTGACCGTAATGTATTTGAGAATATTGTAGCTTATCGTTAATTAAAATTACATATTAAAAAAAAGTACATAGTAATATATTAAAAATAAATAAAGAATCAAAAATAAAATAAAATAATTATATACTTGTGGGGGTAAATTTCTAGGTAGAGTATAACTCAGGGATAAATTAGTCTTAATGTTGGTGGGATTAAAAAGTTAAGCATTGTATCACATAATTTATATAATGATTAATAAAATCTTCGAACAAATGAGTTCACTCTTAAAAAAATAAAAAAATAAAAAATAAAATAATCTTAATGTTCATTTTTATTAATGTAGCATATAGTGGTTAGCGCTACTAGGCGTTGGAACAAATTTTGAGTTTTTATGTTTTTTATATACACGATTCCCAACAAAAGCAAAGATTAAACCCACTACAATACCACATATAGCAACACCAATATAAATTCCAACATTAGATGAAGATGATTTTTCTGGAGAAGAAGTTGGTTGAACAGGAAGGGCAGGAGGGAAATTAGGGGCACTATGAGGAACGTCGGGTGAATTTGGAGGTGAAGCTGTAGCAGCTGGAATAACTGAAGTTGGAGCAGCTGGAATAACTGAAGTTAGAGCAGCTGGAGCAATCGAAGTTGGAGCCGCACCTGCGGGTTGGAAGACTGTGAAATTTCCAGAATATTTAATATCAGAGCCGTCATTGAGGATAAGGTAATAAGTTCCCGCAGGAACATTGACTATCCATGTGTAAGATTGAATATTTAGATTTATGGAATTGCTAATTATAATTGAGTTTTTAGATGTGTAATCGACAACACTTAAAATGCCTGGAAGTGCATTCGCTTGTGGGGTATATGTCCAAGTGATTATAATAGTGGCACCAACTGCAGTACTATTACCGGGCGTGTTAATTATTTGAACCTCTAAAAATGCAGGTACAATGTTAAAATCGCTTGATATATTTAATTTGGATCAATTGTCCACCTTTTATGCCCTCTAGGATGTTATTTTAATTATCCTACTTTTTTTTCGTTTAGGATTACCTAAATGCTGAATTTTTTTGTCAAAATTAATGTTAAGCTGGATAAGTAAATAACATCCCTTATTTTGCTTATAACGATAATAATAATGATATTCAAATAAGTAAAAAGAAATTTTGCTGACTTACGGGCTGAAGTAGACCAACTGAGAACCATGAATAAGATTAAGAAATGAATTAGTTGTGACATTATTATTGATGTTTAGTTATTTTTTATCCTTAGTTATTCGTTGCTATAATAAAGTAAACTTTTTATTTTTGAGAGTAGGTCAAAGGATATTTATATATATAAAATTATTGTAACCATAAATAATAACTTACTATACATAATGTCACATATTTAAATAGCACAAGAAAATTCTAAGAAGTGATTTAAACCAGTTGTAATAATTTTTATATACAGTCAGACCCCCCTAAATGCACTCTCCCTAAATGTAGCACCTCTCTAAATGCACAGCCCAACTAATATTATATCTATAGATTTTTACCTCCCTAAATGCAATACCTCTCTAAATGCACGTGCTAGAGCTGGTCCCGACGACGTGCATTTAGAGAGGTCTGACTGTAGTTTATAAAGATTTTTAAAATTTTTGCTTTTTAGGATATTAGAAACAAGTGATTTTTGTTTTGCTTAACATTATTTTATATTTTTTATTCATTTGATACGTATTATTTTTTTTAGTTTAGAAAATATCGGTATTATAGATATTTAGTAAAGTAGTACAGTACGGAAGTACAAATATCGATATCGAACGAAATTGAGCGTTAAAAAAAAAATAAATTATTTTCGTACTAGTACTACAAATGCTTTTAATACGTAAGCGACGCCAAACCAAACAAAACAACCCAAAAAAAAACGACATTTTCTTAAACAACGGATCAATCCTTGAAAAATATTATAATTGAATCATTAAATTATAAGTTCGATCCTTACTCGATTTTTTTTTATAGTATCTATCGCTATCGTTATTTAATTGAAATTCAAGCACACTTAATTTGATTGAAATTAAGTACAAAGATAACTAAACATTTATATATTATAAAATAAGAAGTTTAAACTAGAGATTGTACCCGTCAAGAAAATCTCTACCCGGGTATTATTAAATTACCCGGTTATCCGGTATATCCATATAATAAAAATGTCTACCCGGGTACAATCTCTAGTTTACAGTAAACTATCTAAAATTTATAAACTTTTTGTAATTAGATAGCCATCGTCAGCATCAATATCTAACAATAGTCATTTTTATTATTTATACTATTGATGTTTTTTAACGTTAAACGTTGATTCAATCTCTGTTGCTTCAATTGCACCTTGAAAACTAGTTTCAAAATAATCTTTATTATTATTGTTGATAATGAAATCTTTCTTTCGTATACATTAGCATTAGTGGATTTACATCTTGTTGCTAAATAAAAAAAAAATTATTATACCGTGTATCCTTTTATCTAAAAAATAAATTCAAAATAAATATTTACCTTTTCTATTTAATGCAATTTATTGCCGTTTAATTTCACTTTTATCATTTTTGTATATGACACTCCCGAGTTTGTTTAATTTTAAACAATCTTTCATTATATAGTTTTAATGTAAAACTAGGATATGAATCACGTATTTCTAAAATTTTTTTGTCATCATTTGATTCCTCTACTAGTTATTCGGTTTATAGGGAAAATCTAAACAGTGCCCCATGCGCTTTGTGCCTCCTAGCAAAAACTTAGCCTATAATAAAAATTAAAATTAGATTAGAGTTAGTAAAATGTGTAAAATTGCGAGAGGAACATTTTTGCTTAGTTACACAACAGGGTTACCCGAGTAAAATTTTGAGATATTAGCGATTTTATGATTTTAGGTTAGGGTTAGGTTAGGGTTAGATAGAGTTAGGTTAGGGTTAGAATTTAGGTTTAGAGTAGTGTAAAATTGTGAGAGGAACATTTTTGCTTAGTTGCAAAACAGGAATTACCCTAGTAAAATTAGCGATTTTATGATAGGGGGCACAAAGTGCATGGGGGTACTAGTCCAGTCCTAAATTTATATGTACTTGATTAAATTAAATTTCTTCGATGTAGAATATACTTTCCATGTCTGTAGCAATCGAATAAAAAGTTGAATAGCTACCATAAAGAAAGATATTGACACATCAAGTCAAAATTTGTGTGACCATACTTGTCGGCAAAGCCCGAGCAAATCCCAAATTCTAGAAAAAACAATTGCTACGTATTTATAAAAGATTAAATCAAATAAGTAATCTTAATATTTTGTAAATATATTATCTTTAAAAATATATAAATATTTGTTTAACAAAGGTTATTAATAAATTAATTTGGGATGAATTTGGATTTGGGTGACAAGTAAAGATGTGACCAATTATTGTTTGATGAGTAGGAATTATTTTGATTAATTTTTATTCGGCACACAGATGATGGTCACACCCTCAAATTGAAATATTGATCAATATTGTAATCGTACGTACGTTTGAGTATTTTTCTTTTTTATATTCGTACGTACATACTAACTTATCCTAGCAATTGCAGACAAATTTGCAGGAACGCAGATACCCAATCATCTTAGTCAAATATCATGAGCTTGACTCCAATTTACTAAAAGTCCGATGCAGATTATTCTGAGCATCTTAAAATGTCATGTGGTTTCTGAAAGCCCCAAAAAGTAAGCGAAGAATTCAAAGAGCACAAGATCTACGCACTGCCAAAAATGGCATTGGCAGAAAGCCCTCGAATGTACCTTTAAATTGCAATTTACATATGATCTGCCCAGAATATTGTTGCTACTTACCTTTATACATACATTCTTTATTTGTACCACCATTTCTACTTGTTGTCCAGAGCATAGCAGAGGATAGCACAGATTTTTTTCAATTTTTAACAGCTGCCCTACCTTGTTTAGAGCGTCGGGAGTGCATAAGGAAAGCATCTTCATTCATTGCGAATACAAAGTTCCAATTATATAGGCTGCCATCAATAGAAATAAGGCAGATTGACATATTAAAAAAATTTCATACCTTAACTTTCACAACTCATATTTCGATGAATTTTGAGGCTATCTTGATGATTTAATATTCAAAAGAAAGCCAAGGTCGTGCGCTTTCTTTTGACTATTAAATCATTTTAAGATAGCCTCAAAATCCACCGAGATATGAGCTGTAAATCTAAGTTATTGGTTTTTTTTAAAATGTCAATCTGCTTATTTTTATTGACAGCAGCCTATATTATATAATTGGAAATTTTACTTTGTATTCGCAACGCAGGAAGATGCTCTTCTTATGCAAATCCGGGTTATATTCGACGCATTCCCGACGCTCTAAACAAGATAGGGAAGCTGATAATAATCGAAAAACCTGTGCTGCGGAAGACCCTTAGCGTACATGCAAAGTGATACGAAAATTACGTTTTTGATGCATTTCGACCAAAAAATAGTGACTTAGTTGATGTATCTCTTCCTAATTTTCCAAAATTCTTGTACGTATGTACATGGCTAAGTCATATCAAAAATATAATTTGGAATTTTTTATCCGCACGCGTTGGCAACTGCTCCAGAATTAGGAAATGTATAACACGAAGATATAAACACACACTAATGCTATCTAAAACACTATGCTAAACGACTAAACCCTATCTAAACCTTAATAGCGGCAGGCTACGATCGAGGCGTGGCGAGATTTGGTCTGAGTAATTAGGGTGTTAGATTAGAGCTCTATATTACGCTACGAGGGAATCATGGGAGTAAGCTACTAATTCTCATACAAATTTGATTAATCGAGGGATTAGTAGGGATTCACTTTCTCAGTGTCGGACTCCTAACTGAATTCTAAACTTTGAGTCTCATTTTATTGTAGTGAAAAGGTATTGCTTTTATACTTTTTCTTGCATTGTTATGATGTAAGTGGAACTAATTCGCTAAAATAATTCACAAAATAGATAAATACCAAGTTCAAAATGTTCAAAAGTACAGTTTATAAAGTACAAAAAGTACATAAAGTTCAAAAAGTACGATAAACGTGCCACATCCACCAGATTCTCTAAATTCAATATGCATATGTGTGAAAAAAATTCGTCCCCAGCCACAATATACCCTTTCACAGTTTCGAATTTGCAATTTAGTGTTCAAAAATTACACATTCATGCAATGAGATGATATGCTCCGGACACATAATGCTACGCATTTTCCTAGCGATGATAAGATGGTGTGTGTATCGTGTCTCATGGTGTAGATCACTGACAAGGAAGTGATCAATGAGATCTTACGCAATCCATAATAATATGTATATAAGTGCGTGCTCTCATCCTTAGTTTGCTAAGTTTATTTTTTTATGTTGGTATGTGCTCCTTATAATTGATTGGTAAATTATAAAATACAAGTTTCATGCCTATATTCAGCTTATGCAAGTTAACTGATATTATCCATTGGAACTAAACTATATGCAACTACAGCTAGCTTTTTTAGTTGATGATGACAGATGAAACATCAATAAAATATGTAATATCTTTATTTAATATTAAATCAAGATTTCATTTTACCAATTTTGAAAGGTTAATTAAATAAATATTCATTGTGGTTTTGAATCTATATAATATAATAAAAATGAAGAAATAACATGTGACTATGATGATTTACTAGCTATTTATTATAACCCGTAGGTCACTGCTTTACAAAATGAACCCATATCTCTTTTATAACCTTTACTCTCAGTAAAGAATAGAAGAGGTTTCTTTCTTTCAGGATAGATTGGTCTCGTGACTAAAATTCAGTAGATCGGCCAAAATTTAGAGACAGAATGTATCAGAGCTAAGCCGGCATTAAGCAATAATACTAGCCAACAATATTATAACAAATTTATCATATGGGCGATTTTACTTAGTATATGGGTTACTGGTTTATTGGTAAAATTTGAACAAAATTTATCAATTTCTGACTCACAATCCAACTCTTAAAGGTTTAGTGATTTTCCTTAAGGTACAGGGATTCTCTCTACCTTCTCTTCGACTTAGCCCAGCACTTAATTCCTTCACCATCCCGTGAAATTTTTAACTTCGCGTCTATATCACAGCTACTAGAATATTCTATGGATAATCATCTAAGCCCTTCATGTCATGATCAAATATTTCACGGCCGAACATTTTAGAGCTATTTTCAAAAAATCACTTTTATCCTGTTACAACGTTATTGCAAATATTATAGTTTGAAGGTTGATGCTGAAAAAGACGCAATGAAAGAAAAAAAATATCAAATCAAGCTTTGTGCAATCCGAAACAAGGTTGATAATATAAAATAGCCTGGTAAGAGAAATATCTTTAAAGAATGCAGAATAGGCGAAATAAAATACAATCTGTTGACAATAAACTACTGTTTGCAAATATTGTTTAAAAAACAAGATTTTAAAAGAATAACCTAAAACATTTATAATCAAACTTACGAATTAAAATAGGGGAATTTACGTATAAGGACCCGAAAAATGAAAATAATTAAAATAAGGGCCCAAAGTGAAAATAAATACATTTAAGGGCCAAAATTTTAAAAAATATTATAATCAAAGGTCCTAATTTATCATAATA